GACCCCACAAACCGCCGCAGCTTGGTTGGGGTCTAGCCGTCTTCCGCCTACTCTGGACCCAAGACCAGGATCCAGCTTCCCATAGGTAGACCTCTCAACTCCAGAGAGCAGGAACAGGCTCTTACCAGAGCTTAGTGATTATACTCTGGGGAATATAGTGATTATAGCAATCCCCAGAGTGTAGTTATCCAATCCCCCAAACATGAGCCGAAACTTTATGAAGGTACAAGATGATCTGTTTATTGAGCACAAAGGCACTTTTTTTTTATTTTTATTTTTTATTCACATTCTCAGGCCAGAGGCACATCCCCTTGACCTGATGGAACACAGGGACAAAAGGGACACAAACCAATGGGAACTATAATTAACACAGTAAAATCCCTCCCTTCTATCCTGGAGATACTTGGCTTAAGTGACTGTAGTAAACTTAATGATCTCCAGGTACAGAAAATATCTCTAAGTTACAACTGCAACAAAACACATTAAAATACATAACTTTTATATTCCACAGAACTGAACCCCCACACTTGACAAATCACCAGATAGCTTGGATCTGAGCGCTCAATATATCCAAATAGCGCTCAGATACCACGAACATAGTCGAATTGCCATGGGGTTCAAGTGTTTATGGAAGTCTCTTTTGACTGACCGCAAGCATGGCTTTCCTGCCCAAAATGGTTCCACAGATTTTAGCTGTAAGGCCGGTCTATTTTCAATAGATAAGTTCCATTCGAATGCATGAACAGGGAGGTACCAGCTCCTTGGAGGTTTATGAGGACACACTCCACTTGCGGGTGGTCCGGCTGTTCGACAGTTTGTTTGGTTACCCCAAATACCGAACCACATCAGGGGAAAGGCACAAACAAGCTTTTCCATGGCCCTAAGACCCATGTTAACTTATAGGCCATAGTCCTAGGGTAATAGGCTGGCAAGCAGGCCCCTCCAGACACCAGTGACGAAGGTGCTTTCATCACATCAACCTCTCCAAAAATCTTAACCGTATGATCAATTTAAACATTAACAAGAAATGTTTAAGAATGGTTGCCCTTAAAATGAATTTAAAAAATTCTCAGATTTCGGACAATCCCATTAACGCAAGGCCGGCGCCACCCTTGGGCGAACTAGGCATTCGCCTAGGGCACTGGCCTGCTGGGGTGCCCACCATTGTTTCCTGGTGGGCTCCCCCCGTCTGGTCCGCAGCGCTGGGCGAGCAACTCTAGAGCCACTCCTCCAGGCGCCTGAAGGTGGGGGCGCCCAGATATGCTCTGTAACAGTATGGCAGAGCAGGCACCTTCTTACCTTGATGACAGGTGCCTGCTCTGCCATCAAATGTTGGTGCCCGGAGGAGAATGCAGGTGGTGGAGGCTTTAATTGCAGCCTCACTCCTCCCTCGTGAGCCCTGGGACCGGGAATGTCATATCAGCCCTGGCATACTAAACGGCGCGCTGGAGGAGTGAGGCTGCCCCACACTGGATCCTAGGGAGGTAAGTGTGTCTGTCAGTGAGTGGCGGTAAAAATCTTTGCACCTCCCTGCATTAACTATTCCAAATTCTCTATTCAGGTTTAGGTTTTCCAGATTTTAACTTATTCTATAGCAGTGATGGCGAACCTTTTTGAACTTGAGTGCCCAAACTGCAATACATGCCAACTTTTTTCCCCTCAAATTGCCAACATGGCAATTAAACCTGAAAACTGAGGTTTAAGTTTAGAAAAAACAACTTGTACAGTTGTCTGAACTAATTAACAACTTATGTTTTAAAAGAACACAACTGAGTTTAATGATACAAATTTTAAATGATACTAATAAATGTTTCATTTTATCTATTTATATCTCCAACAAATGCAATACATACACAGACGTGCGCGCAGTCCGCATGCATTCAGCGGACTGCGCAGCACATACACATACCGGCACGCGTGCAGTCCGCTTGATGCGTGCGCACAGCACCACTTTTAACACTTTTTTTTTTTTGCTTAATTGGATATCTTTTATACGTGGTTCCACACTATAGTGTTTTCTTGAAAAAGATAGCAATTGATCCCCTTCTAACTGTTTCTAGGGAAAGTTTTAAAGTGTGTGCATGTGTATTGGCAATGTCCCAAGTCATTAAACTATGGGAAGTGCACTACTTCACTTTCACTTGCTGCCTGGCAGCTTACTATTGTTTCCTAATAGATTAGCATTGCATGACTAGTATACAGGCCAGCCTACTAAACTCTCATTGGCTGTTTGCACAAAGGGGTGGAGTAGTTGTAACGAAACATCCCTTGGTACACTTGGATTGAGGTATGTGCTGGCTTCTTCCTTCCATCTCAACGTTTCAGCTGCAGTTAAGATACAGACGGTTGTAGCTCTATCCCCAAATTGCAGCAGTTGCTTCTGCCTTTTACTTAGACTGGTGGGAGGCGGTTTTTAACATATAGTGCCTGCCACCAATGCGCTCTCTTCCCAGCCAGCTCCCTCATTCCCTGTCTTAATAGCTTAAGGCAGGCACCATTTCAACCACCTAGTGCTTGCTTCCATAGGTTAAATGACCCATACCCCACATGCAGCATGGCTGGTGAGCGCACATAGTGACAGGCACTACTTGAATAGTAACAAAATAGATATCTGCAAAGGGGAAAATAAAACCACTCATAGAGTAGTAAATCAAAACCAGTAAGCATATTTGGTTCAAAGTTACACTCACACAAATTGGTTGATTGTAGGCATGTCAAAATTATTAAATGTGGGAAACAAAATTACACAACCATAAGTGCAGATTTAAAGGACCATATAGTGCGCTAAATTAAGTAACACTTACACACTAGACGTGGTGTTCAGGCATATAATGGTCTCAGAAGGTTGTTACTCCAAGAATAGAATGTTACTCCTTGGTAATAGTATGGAAAATTTGCGAGGACCCCACAATCACATGGCCAGGGGGGCTGCCTGTAATGACAGGTGGTCCCCCTGCTGGCTGAAAATAAAATTAAAATAAAATTTATTAGTGTAAAAAAAAAATATATATATACTTAAATCATTTTTATATGCAAAATGGCTTGATTCACTATTTCAAGCCCCTATAGCCGTATTGGAGACGTATATAAAAGACACACCTAGTTTAATTATAAAATTGAAACAATTAAATCTGAAAAAGGGCACTACAGTGTTGATTACCATGGATGTAGGTAGCCTTTATACCGTAATTCCACACAACCAAGGCGTAGAGGCTATGAGAACAGTCCTTACGACATCCTCTACCTATAAAGGACCACCCATAGAATTTGTTCTTGAACTCCTCTCTTGTGCTCAATAATAACTACTTTAGATTTGAAGAGCAGTGGTACCTTCAGATCTCGGGCACGTCCATGGGGGCGGCTATGGCCCCCATGTATGCTAATGCCTATATGTACATATACGAACGGCATTGGATCTTATCGAAATTTGGGCAATATATTCAAGGCTACTTTAGATACATCGATGATGTGCTGATTTTCTGGAGCGGTAGTGTTATGGAGGCTATGGAAATGGTACAATTTCTCAATCAAGCGGAGAGCCCCATTAGGTTCACGGCAAATATCAGCCTGGCCTCCGTCCAGTTTTTGGATTTGGAGATAGCCATCAATGAGGAGGGACTGGCCTACCGCCTCTATCAAAAACCTACGGACCGTAACACCATCTTACATAACACAAGCGCACACCCCTAAGGCTCAATTTTTGAGAGTCATACGTAACAACTCAGATGAGAATATAATGGAGAGACAATTGGAGGAGATGATGGTAAAATTCCTTGAACGTGGCTATAAACGAGATGACTTAGTTAGAGCGAAATTAGAGGCAAAGTCTGCCTGCTCAACTAAAGCCAAAAGTGAAGCCCAAAGGCTAGTCTTCCCTGTAATTTTCCATGATGCATCCCCAGTGATATCTAAGATTGTCAAGGATAACTGGAAGGTGTTTAAAGAACCCCCCCCCTCATGTGCTATCGCAGAAATAAGAACTTAAGGGACCTGTTGGTCCATACAGACCCAATAAGAAGCTATGAAGTAAAGAATACCGAAGCACAGAATCGGGGTAGCATTCGCTGCTTGGGCTGCGTCACTTGTGGCCATATCACACCGTCCCGTACTTTCCAGCATCCACACAAGAAAAAGATTTTTCAGATACGGCACACCATCACTTGTAAGACTCCATATGTGGTGTATAAGTTGTCTTGCCCCTGTGGACTCTCATACATCGGTAAAACTGAGACACCCCTCTGTGAAAGAATTAGGGGACACAGATCGAGTATAAGGGTGGCGTACCGTGATGGGACATCTGACCAACTGGTGGCAAAGCATTTCCTCGCCTTTCAACATCCACTTTCAGCCCTTAAATTCTTGGCAATTGACCATATACCACCGCCAAAACGTGGGGGGGATAGAGGCAAACTCCTTTTGAATAGCGAGACATTTTGGATTTATACCCTGGACACTATAGCCCCTAAAGGACTGAATGAAATGATCTCGTATCATTCATTCATATAAGTGACTTGTAACAAAAACATTTTTTTTTTTCAGCATCATTGTTTTTAATTTTGTGATTTTTATTTTATTACTATTTAGTAATATGTAATTTTAATATTGTTAGGAACATTAGTCTTTGAACCTATATATAGGTCCCTTTCTTTACAGCCTTAACCCCAATTACCCTGTTTTACGCATCTTTAAAGAATATTATCCACTTCACCTTCACTGCTTTTCTAGTATATATCTTGCCACTTTGCTTCAACTTAGGAAGCCTTACTTAATGCACTTTATAATACTGTACCTGAAAGTAACTGGCACTTTAAATCGATACTCTAATACATAGTTTACACTTTTGGACCATTTAGATCCTTCCACTTTGCACTGATTGCACATTTTGCACTTTAGCACTTTTAGTCCCTTTTTGGGTCTTACACTTTATTTTTGGTGTGTTGGTTTACACATTTTATATGGTATACAGATCTATGGTCTACCTCTTTAAATACTTATCATAGAATGGAGGATAGACACTTCGGGGTGTTAGACTGGTTGATAGTTTACATTATCAACCCTTTGTTGATTGGTTTTTTGATCCAGTACGGTATTTTTATTTTTACACGTATTATTAAACCCCCACAGCGCTTATACCGCTTCCAGGTTGCCAGGGTGACCGGACTTGCGAGTGTATCCGGCTCCCATGGCAACGGACGGTACGCGATTACGTGGTGGAGGGGCGGAGCACGCACACACATGCGCACTGGGTATCTGGGGACGCGGGCGGTAGCCGATAACGAGTGTACATCTGGGGTAAGTTAATTTTCTAATTACCTGTCTCTTATTTAAATGGTTTATTGTCTTGTATGTGGCTAGTATTCCTGATGAAAGTCCCGGAGGAGGACTGAAACGTCGAGCTGTTACATTTTTAAATATGTTTAAATAAACTTATGGACTTTTAACTTCTACAAAAACCGTGAGTGCTGGTCATCCCTTGTTTGTTGATAGATATAGATAGATATATATATATTTATAAAAAAAATGAATATGTATATACGTTAATATCAAATTACACGTAGACTGATACTGATTAAATATATATATATATATATATTTATATATAATATAAAAAGAAGAATATGGAAATACGTTAAAAAAATTATTAATAAAAAAAATTACAAAATATATAGATGTGTGTTATTTCGTTCTAACTGTATTGTGATATTAATATATATATTTATATCAAAATACACGTAGAACAAAATAATATATATCTACATACATAAATATATACGTATATATCACTATATATATATATATATATATATATATATTTATATAAATAAAAATATTTTAAAATTATATAGATATACACACATATATATATATATATATATATATATATATATATATATATATATTTATATATTTATATTTGTGTTAGGTGCTTAAGATAGTACAGTGTGAAATACCATGAATAAGCGTAGGATGATAAAAGGAGCAAGTCGGTTGTGGTGTGCCGAAACC